AAAAAAATCCGTAGTGACAGTTCTCGATCATGCATAAATATAATTAATTATCTAATTTTTGTCCTAATAACCTGTAGCATTTCGAGGATGAATCGAAAAAATTTGAAAATTAGAGGTCATTTCGTGATTTTTATCTATCGAGGAAACTTTATTGTTTTATGTTTCTGATTAGTGTCTATGCTTGAATATATCGTGTAGTTACTCATACAATATTTTAGTTTTAACTTTAAAGTGGATATACCCCTCTAAAATCAAATCGAAGATTAGGAATTTTTCCTCTGCTCCCTCTTAAATACGTTTTTTCTTTACCATTAAGTAGGTAATGATTTCGGATTCTTTACAAAATAGGTCATCCTGCTTTTCTTTTATGTCATCCAATTATGAGACTGGTGACTTAGACTATGAAATTTCCATCCTCGTAATGATCATTTTGAGCGAAACCAAGAACAAAACCCAAAAAAATACAAAAAAGTTATGATTTTTGACATGTGAAGCTGTTAAAATGTTAGAGGATGGAAAAAAACTAAGGTTAAAACCGATGTGCTAAAACCTTAGAGGATGGAAACATTGAAAGAAAAATATATCAGTTTCTATTTTTACACTATACAAGGTGTCACAAAACGTTCCATCTAAACGATTACCGTATTATAGATTAGGTATCATACTTATGCTAAACAACAACTTTTATAAGAAAAAAGTTCATTTCAAATTCGCGTAATTTTTTATTCAGTTTACAATAATAAGTGATATCAGTAGTTTGAAAAAACTAGCTTTTGTGATATAGTTTAATTTGTGTGGTTGAGTGTACAAACAGTCAAGATGGAAGTAAAGCAATATTTCCCAATCCCATGGGTTTTTCAATAAGGTTTTTCTCCTGTTTATTTTCTAAGTATTCACTTTGACGTAGTATATAACCATGGTTACAAATTAAACATTTTAATAGGAAATTTTTATTTAAATGCATTGACTTACAAATAAATGGACGACGGGTCTAATACAAAAACCACGAAAAAAATGTCCCAAGTCCATCGATACTATATCGATGCCCAAGTCAAGCTATTTAAACGTAGTGACATTTAAAGGAATATGAAAAAGCTAAAACGTTGAATTTAAATTGTAATGTCATTGCAGTACTGTCTAATTTTGCTTGCTTCGCTGTCAGTCGAACAAACGAAGACTAAAGCGTGAATAACGCTCTGTATACGATTTTAACGCACTATAAGTTCGGAGACTTTTTAGCGCGGACCCGACGTCCATATAATTGTAAGTCAATGTTTAAATGTGTATCTTTTTTCTTACGTACTCTGTGGTATGGTATCCACCTTTCCTTTTCATTGTGCTGACTTTTTATTGTGCGCATTTATGGTAAGTATATGCACGAAGTTATTGTTTGGATTATTTCTTCACTCTTCATATGTAGTTACTACTTAAAAAAATAAATATTTACGAGGAATCATTTTGAACCATAAACAGCTAATAATATCTTCGTCTTTAAGTAATATCGATAATCAAAACGATTTTCGTTGTTACGAAACGGCCTTTGTGAACAAGAATGACAACAGCTGTCAGTTTTGACTTTTGTCATGTTGGAACTATGGGAATTTCGCTAAAGTTTTGTACCTAAAATTTTGTTGTTTATTTTATTACAGGGTACTCTCTATATATCGTGTTTAAATTAGGACTCATGTGGCTGCACCAGGCTCCGAGCTAGTGCTGTGAATTGCTTTCGGTTGTTTAGGCTAAGTAAATTAGATGTTATAGGTAACGATGGCTCGGAATAGATGTGATGGGTTACTTGCCAGAGTTGATTTTCCCCTATACGCGCTCCAGACGCTCACTAACAGACATATTCTTGTGGCTGGAGGCGGCGGGGCCTCCAACACGGGTGTCGCGAACGGATTTGTAAGTGTAACCTCCCTTTCTTATAGTTTGCGAAAACTTACAAGAAGTGCATTTCGATATGCGTCAGCAATTTTCCAGTTAAACAAGGGCAACTAATTTGTGTGTTATTCGGTTGAGAAACTGGTTCTCTATATGTCGATGTGTGTTTTGTAGGAGATTTTCGAACTGTCGCACAATGGTAGTCGATTTGTGGCTGAGGAGGTGATGCGGTACGAGACGGGGCCGAATGTAGTGATGACGTGCGCTGTACGAAGTGCGGGAAACCGTATCTTTCTCACGGCGGGGCAGGAGAGTCACTGTCAGCTGTACCGGGTTAACATAAAGATGGTGGACCCAGCGGAGATGCGGCGCGGCAGTTTCCGCGCCGAAAACGGTCTCATCCGCCGAAGAAGACGCACTGTCTCGGAAAACAACGATAACATCCCTAAGAAAGACAGCAACAGCAATACTACAGAAAAACGAATATCATTTGAGATACGTTCCAGTGATAGTGTACAAACAGATTTTGGGTGAGTGTTATACAAACAAATACTGTGACATTATTTATAGAAGTACTTATACAATGTAGTAACCAACACTGGTTTATTTATAATTATGAATTAAGGTCTCTAGCAGAGCCTAGTGGCCCAGATTTCAAGTGAATGTGAGACAAATAAATACTGCAACATTGTTTATTAGGTTGAAAAGGAATTTGAATAAAGAGTAGAAACTAACACTGCTTCATTTATAAATTACAAATAAACAAGACTTTTATTAGGACATCTGTTGCCTAGGTTTCAATTAACAGTAGAACTAAAGAAAATTAGCTTTCAAACATTATTTTGTTATGGTTTTTCTGGATAGCGCTCCAGGAGTTAACTTTCTTACTCCAGTCTGGCATGAGATGTATATATATATATATATATGTATATATATATATAGATGTATATATATATATGTATATATATATAATATGTGTGTATATGTATACATTCAGGACTGGATATAAACATTCAACACTGCTAGGCCTAAGATTGTTTTTTGAATAATTATATTATTTAGTGTACATAATATCTGACATTGAAGACATGACATGGTGCACCCCTAAACTGAGGTGTTGACGTAAATCCAGTCCTGTTTACATTACTATGTGCACAATTTACAACTCAATCGATTGTGAAGCACCTTATAAAATGCACTATATACTTTTGTTTTAATATGTATTATGATTTAATTTTATAATAGTAATGGCCTACTTCAGAATATTCCAATGATCCTTCTTGCTTTGGACCTTATAAAAGTTTTCTATTACATCCACAGTAGGAATTATGTTTTATCCTCAATATTAGTTTTTTATACCCAACTGTGTATTGTTAATGCTTGTTTGGGTCAATCAACTCATAACTATTATCAAAGTAAACAACACAAGTAAATGACAGCATTACAATAATGGCACACATCCCATTCAACTTTAGTGTCTAGTGTATTAAAAAAAAAGTTTAGTTGCAAGTGTTATGCTCTGGCTACACAGAGGCGGCCGCGGAAGCGTTCCGAGCGCGGGATTTTTTGTAATGTACAAGTTTACATAAACATAGAAACTCGTACATTACAAAAATTCCCGCGACCGGAACGGTTCCGCGGCCGCCTCTATGTGGCCAGAGCATTACGTGTGCGCGCGGAATTGAACGTTTTTAATACTGTTCATAATTCATAGTACTGTTCATAGTTCAAAGTTCATAATCGCAAAATTCGTGCTGTCACAATGAGTTGCTGAAGCTGCAGGCACATTGTCTCAGGGTGAAAGGTGCAGTGGCAGTGCTTTTCAGATCTTTGTGATAGCTTTGAGTTCCATTACCACTGTTATTGATAGACATGTCGTTTACCACCAAGCCCACGTCATGTTCGTCCTGTCGCTTGATATCATTATAATAAGTCGCAGAATTATGATTTTGTAAAAATTAAAAAAGAAACAAGCATGTCAAGTTTTAAATTCCATTTACTTTTGTATCTGCTGCATATCAAACATTGCATTAACAGCTTGCCAAACTGGTTTTTGTGAAATACAAAGCAACAAACTTGTCTAGTGGTGTTATTTAATGTAAATAACACTTACATCGTTTTAGCAGGAACAAATTTAACTTAAATTTTTGACAGAAATAATTTATACATAATTCAATTTAGCATTTCATGGTCTAACATTTTGATGTAAATAATTCATGTAATGAAGAAGGTTCAAAACATGCCAACCAAAAATTAAACTTAAATACGAGAGTTATCTATTAGTTTAGTTAAGGCTTGAAACTGCGTTACACGGGCCCCGCGCGTGTCCATACAAAAATGACACGCGCGTGCTGCCCGCCCGGGCGCCCGTCGCGTGGACCTTCCGTGTAACGGGGCCCGCATGCACGCGACGGGATCCCGCATCCCGTTGGACGGATGCACGCGCCGAGCCCGCTAGCGGTAAACACGCGCGTGCTTGTTTAGTTGAAAACACTATCTCGAACCGACGACCTCACGCGCGTGGCAGGCACATAAAATACCATAGGAGGTATAATAAGAAATAAAAATGTGTAATGTTGATACAGAAAGGGTGATTGTAGAAGTTCAGTGTCGTCCTGCAATATGGGACCATTCAAGTGAACTTTATAAAGACCGGGACGCTAAATCAAAAGCATGGCTAGACATTTGTAAAATATTGTTTGTACTACGTACTTGTACGTACGTCAAAATTGTACTATCGAAACTGCGTTCCGCGGATGCCCGCGCCGAAGCACGCGACGTGCACCCGGGCGGGCACCAGACGCGTGGCCCGCAACGGGATGCACGCACGGGGGCCCGCGTAACGCAGTTTCAGCCCTTATATGTCCATTACAATAGTTGTCTCACAATAGTTGTCTAATTAAAAATGAGGGGAACTATATCAACCTTTTGTCCTATTGCTTTTATCGTTACCAATGTTCGATAAGAATTTCTATTTAGTCAACAACATTGGCCTTCTATAAAAAAAAAAATCTGTTTCAGCGAGGATCCTTTACAACGAGTGGTACGCATCAGCCATGATGGCAAGTTTATGGCGACGGGCGGTATCGACGCCGTAGTGCGTCTATGGAGTTTTCCCAAGATGCAACTGCTCTGCGAGCTAAAAGGACACACTAAGGAGGTAAGAATTATTAAGACATTTATTCATAAGAGCATTTAAAAATATTGCTGTCAATATAGCGACATCTCTGCCAGTTTTCTGGTAGCTGTAAAGGTACCTGTCTGAGTGAAGAACCTTTAATAAGTTGTCACAGATGGCGCTATGGCAAAAATCCGTTAGACCAATTTGTAAGGTCTGTTGACTCGATCCGTCTATCAGTGGGCAGAGCGGTAGCCACGTTGTAGCGACATGCGCTGGTTTGTGTCGAACGAATTTTCCTTTGTGTTTAACATTAATAATAATATTAATAACTTAGGATAATCTGCAGAAGTCATAAACCTTAATAACGCCGCCCCACCGTAATGCGGTGAATGTTCGACCGATAACACGGTAATTGCTTTGCACGCTCGATTTATTCACGTCGATGTCTTCTTATATAAGCTGCTGTGTCATTAAATTATTATCGAAACGTGTATTTAGTTAAATTAACATGATTATGAGTCTTTTAATTTTCCGATAAGTTTAAAATTTTCTTATACGTATGGTAGAGAAACATTTAACAATTGAGTCATCATTAACCCTATTTGTACGTCCCACTGCTGGTCACGGGTCCTCTCCCTGCTGGTCCACGATGATTTTTTTAACTGTTAACTAGAGGTATTGCTACTAAAAAAAGCCTTTGTAATTATTTTTAATGGTTTGACCTAGCACTTCTCAAGCAGAAGCCATGGGTTCGAATCCAGACTCGCACCTCTTAGTTATGTGCGAAATTTAATTTGAAATTTACCATGAGCTTTTCGGTGAAGAAAGTCATCATGACCTTCACAACCTTCGGAAGGTTTAGCGCACCCGTATTCACACTTTCACAATGACATTTCGACCCCTCCTACGTAAAGTATCGTATGTCGCAATTGCCAAATTTACAGGGGATCGTCTTCAAGTTTTGAATTCACTGAATTGAGTATAACACGTGACTTTAGCATTCCTCACTTTTATTTGACAAAGCTCGTTACTCACATAGAGTATTGTAAAATCCTAGATATCGGTTAGATGAACAGCCACAATTTATTTTATAATTTTATACTATCACCCGACCTGCCGAGTCTCACTTTAGTTTATCAGCTTGTTGACCCACATCTGCTTTAGTATAAAATAAATTGTGGTTGTTCATCTAACCGATATCTAGGATTTTATAATACTCTACGTGAGTAACGATGTTTGCCGAATAAAACTGAGAAATGCAAATGTTACGTTTCACTGAGTTCAAAACTTTAAAATGCTCCCCTGTAAACCTGGCAGTTTCGACATACGATATTTTACGTGGGAGGGGTTGATTTCTTTGTTTACATTTTGGGCATATTTGTCCATGATTGTTTTTTTCACCTCAAGTATGATCTCCACAACAGCAGTTAATCGAAGAGGTCCTTCCAAAAATAAATACCGTGTTGCTGCCTCAATGTTGGCATTCTTGATCAATATACATACATACATCGAAACTGACACTGACCCAAGCCTAGTGGCCGCCATTAAAGAAATAATTAATTAATTTAATATGATTAAATCAATTAATTACTTTAATTATGATTCATACTATAGACAGACTTTTTATAACAGTGAACTTCCACGCTTGAACTAAGTGGTGACCCGTGTCCCACGGGTCTTTGGGATAAAAATGCGTTGTTTCAGTTGGACGATCTCGACTTCAGCCCGTGTGACACAACCCTCGTGAGCATCGCGAAGGACGGGCTTGCCAATCTGTGGCCGACGTCGTCGCAGGCGCCGGCGCGCAGCCGCGGCCCGCTCTTGCAAATCACCTGCCAGCCACCCAATGGCAGCAAATACTTGTTCCGTCGGTGCAGGTTTGTTCCGCAAGGAATTTATTATCTCATTAATTTCTTAGCTGTAAAGCACGTTAGTACGTGCTGTTTGATGACCTCCGCGGTCGATTAGTTTGCTCATCGGTTCCCGGGTTCGATTCCCGGCCGGGTCAATGTAGAAAAGCTAAGTTTCTATATTGTCTCGGGTCTGGGTGTTTGTGGTACTATCGTCGTTTCCGATTTCCATAACACAACTGCTTTTAGTTACTTACTTTGAGTTTTGAGCAGTGTGTGTTATGTTGTCTATTTAATGTTAAATTGTTTATACAATGCACTGATAATATAATACATACGGTACATTTAAAGAAAACCACTACTAAAATTTCTACAATAGTGTTTTTCAAAAAATAAGGTCAGTTATTTCAAATTATTTATTCATGATGAAACTTAAAAAAAAATAGTCTTTTTTCGATCAACTTGCTATTGAATATCGTCAGAAAACATCTTGTTGAAATTATCCCGTGTGCAGCGCGACGTGACGTAAACTGTCACTCCTCCCGCACAGCTACCTCAATAAGAGCGATATACAGCGCTATCTCTATACTGGAATAGCAGTATCTTCTATCGCGCTTTATGTCGCTCTCGCTCAAGTCGCGCCCTGTCGTGCTAGCCCTACAGGACCCGACTCAGTTAAGCGGTAGGCTTGTAGTGGAGTATTTTCGTAAAAAAATATATGAAAATTTTGCTGGTAAAAACATTATGATATTCAATAATTAAATACTGCCATCCTAAAAATTATTAACCCATTCATGGACTGTACTTTATTAGCACCGCAGACAAAAATGTCACTAATTTTCCTTTTGTACTGTTAAAAGAAAAAATCATAATCTCAGTACAGAGTACTAAAAAACCGACCTCAAAAGTACGTGGAATTATTTCATGTGTTCTGATTTTTTAAACTAGACAAAGTTAATTGGCAAAGTCAAAATAGTCGTTAAAAACCAAAAACAAAGATTCGACAATAGGCACATAGAAAAATTCGTGAGGTCCGTTAGTTTCTTCTGTGGCTTAGTTAGCATAGCGTCTGCCACGGTTTGCTGGGAGACGAACGGCTCGAATCCGGCCGGATCGAAGGAATTTTTTCTAAGTATTCGATCTTTGTATTAATAATTAGACGAAGTTATTCAATTTTTAATATTTTATTATTATTATTGCTTTATTAGTTTTTTTTATTATACCAAGTGACGGGACGAAACTAGTCGTGCGCCTGGTATTAAGCGACACGCCAGTCCGTAGCAGTTGCAGTGCCACTCAGAGCTTTAAATCGCAAAGTCTGAGGAACATTGCAACTGCGCCTTGAGACATAAGTTCACAAGTCTCATGTGCCTGTACTTTCATCAGCTTCTTTACCCTTCTAAACCGGAACGCAGTAATGCTCACATTACTGCTTCGCCAAGCAAAATAGATAAAGTGGCACTACTTCCCTGGCCGAACTTTTTCACAAGATGCTCTACTGCTACTAATTAGTATTAGGTTGTGATTGATTGGGCTGCATGATTGTAGTGTATTTACAAATTATTGCATAACAATTTCATAAACATTGCAAATACTTTGTATGCCGCAAGGCGTATCATTGCGGTTCAAAATCCATTCTGTTTAAACGTCGCTAACTACACATCTTAAGATGTAAAACTAAGATAAAACCACTATCGTAATATCAGTTCAGATTAGAGTTATCATCAGATACCATTTTTTTCGTATATGTACTCCACAGTGTGGATAAAAATGTTTATTTACCTATTTCTGACTTATGTAATTTCTTGTAATTTATAAGTATGTCACGACCTCGGTGGCCCAGCGGTTTGTACTGTTAACGCTTGATGAGAAGGTCCAGGGTTCGATTCCCGGTGGGGAAATGAACTTTTCGAAATTCAATTAAACTGAAATGTTGGTTTTCCACGAATAAATAAATAAATACTTTTGATGCAAGTTTTAAAGTTAGGAAATGATAATCTTAATATATGCTCCGGAATCTTATTGTAAAAACGTAAAAAGAACCGTTTACCTTGAATGAATGAAATTATGTATGTTTTTACGGGCATTCAAGTCATAATACCTGTCTCCTTAAACTTTTCTCTGCGAGAAACCCGAGAACCTAAACGGAAACAGAACAAATCGCTCATTTTTTCAACATAAATATGGTTTGTATATCTGCCGCACTACACTATGAAAGTAAACTAGTCTAGCAGTACCAGCATCGGTAAGCAAGCAAATACAATCAATTTTCATCCCATTCATCCTACATGTTCGTCTCGCCACTTACTCAGCTAACAGGTTGCCTGCTTGTTTGAAATCGACTTCACGACTGCTTGAAGTTGATAATGAATACACGCATTAGCTGCATGCAGTCGCGATCTCCCCTGCATGAAGTTGATTACGACTTCACGCATTAACTGTAAACACGCAGTCCATCTGTTAGCAGCCTTAGTATCATAAACAAAATACTAAACGCAAATTAAAACTACCATCAAATCTTCCAGATTCGGTCTAATAGAAGATAAAAAGAATGCGTTCAGGATGTTCACAATCGCGAATCCACTAGCCCGGTCGGGCAAGCAGAAGGGGCTCATCCAGCTGTGGGACCCGAAGGACGGCTCGCTGCAGAAGACTGTCGTCGTCAACGAGTCCTTGGCCTCGCTGGCGGTGAGAGATGACGGACGATTCGTCGGGATCGGGACCATGTACAGCGGATCAGTTGACATTTATATCGCCTTCAGTTTACAGGTATGCTCTCTTCTGTTTTTAAGTTTTATAGCTTCAATAAAATAAGATAAAATCGTATTTATTTGACATGCCGAATACATGATAAAATACAAACAATTATAAAATATCAAATAATACGTTCATAAATAATAATAAAAAATAGGAAAACGTAATAACAATAATAGAAAAAAAATTAAAGCAAATAAGGAAACAAAAAAGGCATGTTAAAAAGGTCCATGACTCAGCATTTGAGGACTATGCTAATTATATATCCCTCGCTGACATTCTGCCATGGCCTGTCATAGAAATAGAACACCACAATTAAAATTAAATTCAAATACTAACACAATCAGACAGTAAATAAATTACATTAAATTTGACACACAACATTTACACATGAATGTAATAACTAAATTTGACACATACAACATTTACTCATGAAAATAAAAATTAAATTTGACACATACAACATTTACACATGAAAATAATAATAAACTTGAATAATAAGAACAATAATAGTAAATTTAAAATGCACAATACCAAATATACACAAACAGCTTTTGCACAAAGCCAAAGACGGGCAGTGGGTCAAAACCCAATCAACCTGCCCGGGTTTTACCCAATTCTGGTTTTGAAATTCTGATTTTGGTGTAATTCCATATATACTCAATACTCAATACTCAATACTTTATTGCTTTTCCATAAAGATAAAAAGGTGTTACAAAATATAAATACAGAACGTTTATGGACCCTGTGGGGCACAGCAATTGAGAGGCATTCTTTTAAATTACAATTTTTTAAATTATAATATTCAGTAATTACTATTGAGGTACGGTAGTATATTATTTTATATATAATATATTTTATATATAATAACATGCCTTTAAGTATTAATATGTACTAATTAGGTTAATATAATGTTTTTATTTATTTGTATTTGTTTGGGTATCTATTTTTGTAGATATAAACAATTTAAATATTATCATTTAGGTATTCCTGTATAGTATAATATTGTTTTGTGACTAATAGGTTTTTTATTTGTTTTATAAAATCTTTTTCTTTGTTTAAATATTTAATGTAGTTCGGTAGTTTGTTATATATTTTGATTGACATGACTAGTGGGCCAGAATGGTATAATTTTAAACGGGAGATAGGTAGTGCTAATTTGTCACGGTGACGTAAATTGTATCCAGGGGCAGTCTCTCCTCGCTTTATGTAGAATTCTGGATATTTCTTCACAAATTTGCATGCTTCCAAAATATAGATAGATGGTAGGGTGAGAATTTTATGTTCAACAAAGTATGATTTACAGCTATCTGTGTTATGTAAATTAAAAATTATACGAATTAATTTCTTTTGTAGGGTAAATAGAGAATGGGCATCCGTACTATTTCCCCACATGATAACGCCATAGCTAAGCCATGCATAAGCGTACGCGTAATAGACAGTGAGTGATGTGTGTATATCTGTTGTTATTTTGATTTCGCGTAACGCATATGCAAAGCTGGAGAATTTGGATTTAAGTTTCTGGACGTGGGACCTCCAATTTAACCGTGTATCTATTTCCAGACCAAGCAAATTAACTTCATTCACAGTTTCTATGTTTTTGTTTCCGTAAGTAAATTCAATATTTAAAGGCCTTTTTTGGTGTGGGTAGAAAGTGATTATTTTTGTTTTTTTAAAGTTAATTTCGAGGTTGTGGTCTATCATCCAGTTATCTATTAAATTAAATATGGAATGCAGTCTGTTGTTTAAATTGGAATCGTCATTGCACGAGAGAAGGAGAGAAATATCGTCAGCAAACAATATACAATGATCGTGTACTATTTTTGGTAGCTCGTTTATATAAATGAGGAATAACAAACACGAAATGACACTGCCTTGCGGGATCGAGGCGTTGATGGTTTTGCCATTTGATCTTACATGTGTTATTTCTTTAGTGTTTAAGTTGAAGTATTCCACAGTTACGAAATGCTCTCGATCACATAAAAAGGACCTAAACCAATCATGTGCCTTTCCTCGAATGCCTACATCGTATAGTTTTTTCAATAGAATGTTAAATTGCACTTTGTCGTACGCTTTCGTCATGTCGAGCAAGACACCGATTGCGTATTTTTTGTTGTTTATAATATTAAGTATTTCTTGTACATATTTATATATTGCTAGAACCGTGGATCTATTCTTGCGAAAACCATTTTGACAGTTATCAAAAACTTTAAATTTTTCGCAGAAATTGTATACGCAATCATACATTGCTTTTTCAAATATTTTTGACGCTGTAGGTAAGAGAGCTATTGGACGATAGTTGTTAGGATCTGTTTTTTGATTCTTTTTGTGTATAGGTTTAATAATAGTTTTTTTTAACATGTCGGGGTATGTTCCTTCGTTAAAAGATTGGTTAATAAGTAGGCTAAGTGGCGATGCCAGTTCAGAGGCGCATTGCTTAAATAACAATGGTGGAAACTCGTCAATACCGAAACTTATTTTATTTTTCATTTTTATTAAGATATTGTATATTTTTTGACTATCTACAGGGTTTAAAAATATTGTGTTTTCAACGGGATTGATCGTAGGGCGGCCGGTAGGTACTCCGGTACAACCTTCACTGATAGATGCGAAGAAATTATTGAAAGCATTTGCAACTAAGTTCGGGTCAGTGACAGTGATATTGTTTATATTTAATGTTATGTTTTGTTTTTCATTTTTATTTTTCTTGTTGGTACGTTCATTTACAATGCTCCACATAGTTTTTGATTTATTTGTCGACTTTTGAATTTTATTTTTATAGTGAATTTTTTTTGCAGTGTTTACGGCTTTCTTTAATAATTTTTCATATTTTTTATAGTATTTTGTTAAAATTTTATTTTTTGACTTTAGCATAAGTATTTTTAGCATTCGCTTGTTTTTACATGACAATTTAATACCGCGGGTAAGCCAGTATTTTTTGTATTTTGATTTTAATTTAATTTTTTCTTTTGGAATACATGCATTAAGAATATCTGTTAGTTTGTCATGGAATTTAGTATAGTTTTTGTTTATACTATTACTTGGTTTTAATATTTGACTCCAGTCTACTTGACACAATAGGGATTTAAATTTATTTATATTAGCGGGCTTGTAGACGCGTTTTATAGTGTACCAAGTGGGGGGGTTTATAGTTTGTAAAAAAGATTTGATAAGTATTATTGTGCCCGCGTGGTCAGAGAATCCCAATTCTTGAACAGATGCTAAAATTTTATGTTTAACGCAGTTTGTGAATATTAAATCTAGGCAAGTGGAAGATGTGTGTGTTATGTGTGTGGGTGTTACAATGTGTTGCGTAAGATTATTTTCGGATTAAATTTAAAAATTGGTTTCTCTTTGGACTATTTTTTAACATATCAATATTAAAATCTATTACTTGCTTATTACAAATTTCCATTTAATTTGTATACCTTTTACATACAGTGCAGTACAGACAGCCCCTGTATAATTAGTTGGTGTTTAGTGTTTACTCCGCTCGTCGGTTTAATGCAGCAAGCGAATAGTTGTAGGTAAAGACTGAAAATGGGCATAAGTCTTCAACCTTTTTGTCCACATTATTGTATTTTGTTATAATTGTTCGCATATATTGTGGTTTATATGTTTTGTGGAGAAATAAGTGTCCTATTGTTTATTTTATTGCATTTTTTATCAATAAATAATAAAAATAATTAAATGTTATAGAGTATTTAAAAGTTAATTAACTGTCACGGTGTTACCATAATACGGACTACCATGATATACAATTATTTTTTTTGTGAAATTACTCCACAGTACTTTGTTTCAATCCATTTTAAACAATAATAATCAGTACAGAGTACTAAAAAAACCGTCCTTCAAAAGTACTTGGAATTACATATAATTACCAAGTTTTATTGAAATCGGTTACCGGAAAGTGCGCAAACCCGGATTCATCCCCTAGTTCGCCACTATACGGGACTTGACACAGGAGATAATAAAAATAGGTTCTCACTACTCAAAGTATATTGAGAAAGAAAGACGTCTTGAATTGGAGAATACCAAAATCAACCATTAGAATAATTGCTCCTTATAATAAAATTTAGGCGCTATTTATAAAAATGAATCTTCATGCGTGAACAGCCACCCTTAGAGGTGGATGATTTTCTTCAAAATCAAATGGTACCACTTTGGAGGTACCGTTTTTCCAACAAAAAAAGAATCATGAAAATCGGTTCACGACTACCGGAGTTATCGCATAACATACATACAAAAAAAACATACAGTCGAATTGAGAACCTCCTTCTTTTTTTGAAGTTGGTTAAACAGTAAACAAACAAGTCACTGACCCGACCATAGACGGTTTAGTGATGGCCAGTTATAATGTCAACTACAAATCGTTTAATTAATTGAAAACATCTATTTGTTTAATTGAGTCATACTAGCGGGTTTCCTTACATAACTTTAAATTGCTCCTTCAACTCCTTACACTTAGATTCTCGTTCGATTGCGATTGAAATTTTCGATTGCAAAGTACAAAAAAATACAAAAAAAAATGAATGAACCGATTGTTTTCTTTCGTACAGTACTATGCAACCATAGACAAGTCATAGAAGTATAGTTAATAAATTACCTTAGTTTTGGATTAGTTTCTTATAATTATTAATACAACGAACGAATACAGTCAAAAATTCTTATGATCCGGCTGGATTCGACCCAGCGTCTTCAGCATACCAGGCCGACGCTCTTTCTACAAAGCTACGGAACGAACCAGCAGACCCACCGAATTTTTCTTTGTGCTTGCTGCGGATCTTTGTTTTTTAATAACTTTTTGCCGTAGCGCCATCTGTGAGAAATCTATTAAAGTTTTTCATCACTCAGCCAGGTACCTTTACAGCTACCAGTGGCTGATTAGAGATGTCGCTTTAATAATTGTAATATGAAGTTTATTGGCTATCATGATATTTTATTATCATGATATTCAATTTTTTTAAGATATTACTCCACTAGTTTGTAATTATTAGTACAAATATCGAACACATAGACAAAGTTATTCGATCCCCCTGGATGTTATGGAGTATTTTCACAAGATAATAGTTGAATGTCATGTTAGTAAATTCGAAATGGTTGTTGTCGTGACACAGCGAGTGCTGCACGTGGCGAACGCGCACATGATGTTCGTGACGGGGCTGGAGTTTCTGCCGGTGCGCGGCTACGGGCCGCCTGTCACTTCGCGCAGCGAGGCCGCACTTCTCTCCATATCCGTCGACAACTGCGTGGCCATACACTCGCTACCCTGCCGCAGTAAGTTGCACCCTTTAAACCCCTTTTTTATGATATCAAGTGACGGGACGAACAAGTCGTGCGCCTGGTTGTACGCGACACGCCTGTCCATCACCGTTGTAGTGCCACTCGGAACTTTAAATTACAAAGATCTGATGGGCCACTGCGCCAGTCACCCTGAGACATAAGTTGACAAGTCCCGTTACTATAGAGATTCTGTACTTACCATTGATCGATTAGTGCAATAAAATGATGAGTGTTTATTTTTGCTTGTTTTGTTGGTTCGATTTGTTCCAGTTCAGGTAAATTTAAAAAAATGTGAATTCTGTAGTTAATATAAAAAAAAAATGTTTTCATTACCTATTTAAGTAAACAAGTGGACCTTACACTTACAACCTACACCTTAAGTACTAAAGGTATAGTCCATTTGTTTAGGTACTTAACTAAATGTAAACAATCTTGATACATCTTTTTATTGAAACGTATACTTTACAAATCAATAGGTGTAAAAACAGGCATGCAATTTCATATGAAGCTAAACATTTGTATTTTGTATTTGAAGTTAAGTAAAAATCACTTTATAAATGTATATTTCATTAAATAGACATAATCAAAATTGTTTACATTTAGTTAAGTACCTAAACAAACGGACTATAGTTCCTCTTCATGTTACATTAGTTTTTTTTTCACGCTGTATATTATTCTATATGACTACAGGGTATCTAGAAAAATACTTAAAAAAACTGAAGGCATACTTACTTGGGCCCGAAGTATGAGATTGATGGTCGGAAAAAGGTGTTCCACATACATAGATACATGTATAGATATAGCTACAAGAAGTACTTTTCGAATTCCGGATTTCCGGAAATGGTTTTATTGCAACGTAGGACAAAAGAACTGACCTAGAAAGTCGAAGTTGGATTTTGAAGTAATTCTAATGGTGCTATGTGAAAATGCAGTAGATGCAGATGCGACTTTACTAAAACAGAGAATAAAAAAGTAACGAGATTAGTCACTCTCCGCGGTCTGGTCATTGGCGGAACGGCGACATTTGCTAGTAGAACTTAAGAAAAAAAAAACTTTTTATTTAAAAAAAAACTGCTGAATGCTTAAACAAGACGAAAAAGTGCCATTTTTGACGGCCTTGCCCATGTACTTAATTTAAAATTAATCGTCATAAATAGAACTATTGTAACCATATCATATATAAATATAACATTGTACACCCGACAGGGGTATGAACTGTTGTACTCAAATTACATGTAACATCTTCTTTACCAGTTCAAACAATAAACGATTCTGATTCTGATTCTGATTCTGATTCTAAGGAGTTTCTATCCGTTTCATCCGGAATTCAAAAAGTACTGGTCGTTTTACTTTAACTCTATGTCGCTCCTTGTAGCTATATCTATATATGTGGATTTCCTTTTCCCGACCATTGGTGATTACATTTAGTGTATTTTAATGTACATTGGGCAGTTAGTGCTTTTCCCACTGTAGTCTGCTGGGACATAGGAGAATAGAGTAAGATAAGGTCGATACGATAGTTATATGTGTTTAATTTTATTAAAAATTGTTTTCTTCTATTTGCAGGTATGATGCCGGCGTGGATGGCGATCGTTCTAATAATTTTCGTTCTCTTCTGTACCTTCACTCTCTGTTCGTACTTAGGCATTTAACGATAGCACATATTTAAATCCAATTGTACATTTTGACGCCAGTTCTGTTTCTCACTACAATGCCACCAACTTATCTGTGAACTACGAGACTCGTCACACGCACGAGTGATAATCTTTTCATCATGTATCATAGGTAGGCGAGACTGTAGCTCAAACTAGGTTGGACCTGGTCTGAGTCTCTAACATTCGATTACATTACAAATACTAGTTTTCCATCGAAGACGACATCGTCGAAGGTACAGGGATGACAAAAATAAAAATATAAGAATCAAAAATATAAAGTTAAAATAGTACAATAAAAACGAAATCACATACTAATATTTTTTTTGTCTGCAATATTACTTTAAATGATATTAAATTAAGATACATAATGTATTTGGATGCTATTTCATGAAAAAAATTCAGTATTAGTTATTTTTTATACTTGAAAATAGCGTTCATTCAAAAATGTCTACTACCGACTGAACAGTCGGTTGAAATAGGAAATGTGCGGAAAGCACAAGACTTGCGCCTGAGTTTGAGGCATTTACTCGACCTCGTCTTAACTTAATACTTCTTACAAAATATACAATAATTATGTATTTTAATGTCATTCAAAGTAATACTGTACAAAAAAAGTGGGTTACGTCACTTGATAGCCTCATTTAGTGTGCTTGCTTGCGTGGGTGCGTGTGTGGGATTGCGATGCAGCGTGCTACAGGCTCGTATGGCAACGCCCTAATGCTATAGTGACCGTCAGGATGGCTGGTCGCCTGTGGCATCTGGCACTGAGTGTATATTCAAGAATTGCTAATTATTTCCTACCTTTTCTAAATAATTGCTACCTTTGATATATTCTGAGAAATTGAAAAAATAATTGACCAGTCTTTCTGATATCAGGATGGCTGGCCGCCACTTTGTTCAGCATGGAGGGAGCAGATTTTCTAGAAGTATGTATTACCAATAATTGCCACTTATTTGCTACATTCAAAGCAAAAGTTTTTAGAGCTCTATTGCCATAATATAAAGGGCAGGCGTTGGCACTTCTTCGTAAAATTTTCAATTATTTATATTTTTTAACTAATGTAGATAGGAAGCGTATACTTTTAATTCGTGAAAGTAGCATATAGGTAGCAATTATTGGTAATACATACTTCTGGAAAATCTGCTCCCTTCATGCTGAACAAAGTGGCGACCAACCATCCTGATATAAGAATGGCTGGTCAATTATTTTTCTAAATTTGTCACAATATATCAAGGGTAGTAATTATTTAGAAAAAGGAGTAAATAAGTATATAGTTTGTTTAGTAGAGTGTATATTCTTGAATATACACTCAGTGCCAGACGCAACAGGCGTCCAGCCATCCTGACGGTCAACGCTATCATATAGGATATTGTGCAGTAAATCGTCATTTACTGCGGTTAGCAATATCGAATATAGGACTCTCACAGATATCTTGGTAAATTTGTACTTTTCTCTATAGACCGACTAATCATGGCGCGTACACACATAGTACGACTTGACCGAGGGAAACAGAGCATGAAAGATGTGGTATACTTTCGGAACTCTTTTCTTTCATATCTTTGCGTAATTCTATATCTTTCTATTATTCTCAGTTTATGTGCTACTCGAATGACGTCACGGTTGCTTTATGACGTACGTCATACGCACTGCGGCGTGTGCCTGTGACTATATTTATAGCTGGGTTGTTTCTGATTTGGATTTTATGATGAAACGTATGAGTAAAAAGAGCTTTTCTTCTCGAATATGTATTTATAAACAATACCATTTCTGTCATCGAATGGGTGTGAATTGACCCTAACTCTGTTCTTCTCTGTCGATCAAGAAAGCGTGTTGAACGCTCCATTCACAGGTCTCAGCAGACTAGCTATCTAAAAGTTGTTAGGTCAAATTAAACTTAGAGAAACGCATAGAATTGGCATTTGTTGCGTTGTAAGTTTGGTGGGGCTAGAGTAATAGATAATGGACTATATGCTCATATACTATTGTGTATTTATGTATAAATAGGATCAATTTAATTGAATTATTATTATAAAATATATTGAAGTGCAATGCCGCTACTTATGGTTTTTCTTAACTTCGTACAACAAGTATTTCTTCTTCTTGGCGTGTCGACTCTGAGGTTTATATTTGTGAGTTGTACAGGTCCTCGCGTGTGCAGGTAGAAAGGCGAAACAATTATTTTATTTATTGATTAAAATAATACAATAGGAATAGCGGAGAAAATTTGACAAAGATCCGACGCCGACAAGCGCCCGATGGCGACTGACGGGGCAGCGGGGGCATGGCGTGCCATTAAACCGACCAAATTTTAGCAGGCAGGCAGGCAAACTTACGAGATCAATAAATCGACTCATCCGAAGAATGGAGCCCGATGTGGTTAAATAGCGAAAAGAGAATAAGTACATTACGAGAATAATTTCGTTATTCAAAATAAAGCCTATGTAAATGTGTTTTGAGACTTTATATATCTTATTTCGTTTCGGAAATATAAAATCGAACAACAGTCGATCTGACGTCCACAACGAAGAAGAACGAACGAAATGTACTATTTCCTGAGAACAAGTAGTCTTGCACATAGATCTTTGTTTTACGGATAAGTCCAAATGTAGGCCATACAAATATTTCTCCCGGCCCGGGAATCGAACCTGGGACCTCTGCGTGGCAGTCCGGCATGGTAACCGTTCGGCCACAGAGGCAGTTAATTTGTTTTAGACTTCAACTTTACCTTGTTTTCAGGGTTTTATATGATCGGATATAGCACATCCTGTCGCGTAACAACATAGTACAATATTAATTTAGACAATATCCTTACGTGAGTCGTATGTTTTTTGTATGACCTTATTTAATAGTAAATTTTTAAACCATTTGGTCTAGCAAGACAGTTTTCCCGCTTCTCTTCCGGTGACACAAAACGCAAAACGCTTTGTTTATCTCGCGTAATACTCAGCAACTTCATCACACACACGGCAAAAGCCTCATATGTATATTTCGAGTGTAAGTTGGTGTACAGCTATTAGAGGCTATATGAAAATTAAGTTGTACATACCCATTGACCTACCAACAAATGGACATCGGGTCTAATAGAAAAACCACGAAAAAAATGTCCGAGGTTAACCTATACAAACGTAGTGACATGTAACGAAATATAAAAACTAAAATATTTAATTTAAATTGTAACGTCATTGCAGTACTGCATAAAATTTGCTTTGTATGTTGGGCAGATACATACATACAATTATTACTACAAATGTGAAAATAAGCGTGTACTATAAGAAATGTACCGATATTCTATCTAAACGTAAACTCAAAGATCTGTAATTCCGGTTTATAACAAAACCGTTACGCTTTCGAGTAATTTTGATGCTTTTTACATAGACAAAATTAGCTTTTGTTTTGTAATCTTCGTAAAAACAAATTATGAAAATTCGAGGTAATGTTATTTCGGGAAAATGTATTTTCTGACTTCTGATAGGTAATCCCATGCCGTAAAACGAGTACAACAATATTTTGTTAGTTATTGCTAAAGTTTAATAAAAAAATCATTTTAAAAATAGGATTAAAATCAAAGCAACTCTACAGTTTCTTTGTTCTAAATATTTCAATCGCTTGTGGTTCGAACAATTGAAAATGACCAATAAGTTTATATAAGCTTCTTGAAACTGACGTAATGGGTCTCTTTCCATCTTTTGCGCATGCAATGAGTAGAAAAAGGACAGTTAGCTATTTCATTATTTCGTGTGCTTTTGTAATTTATAATAGGGGTTTAAATATGAAATTGCCGATTTATTTTACTGGCCACTTTAAATTAAAATTAAACCTGTATGGTGTCCGATTTCAGAGTGCAACGTTTTTCACACGAAAAGTAAAACATGCTTAACTTAAAAAACATGATATTTGATTGTTCGACTTTCAATTGTTTTTACATTCAGCTTTTAACGTGAAGACAGATACAGCGAAAATCTGAGTACCTAATTTTCGAATACGAATTTCCACATGGAGTTAACGTAGCAGAAACTGTCAATGCTGTATTTGGAGAGGATACGGCATACGCAAATACGGCAAACGCCGGCAATACGGCAAATTACGACTTGAAGAAAGAACCACGAGGAAGACCAGTCACAAACGTAAATAACGTTGAATTGAAGGTAATGATGGAAGCCGATCCGTATCAAACTACCACGAAACGTCATGGTTTAATGTTAGCATACCCACAATATGACATATGGCGTTTGAATAATGACGACGGAACTCGCAGCAAAACAGCTTCACCGTTATTGCTCTATGATAACGCAACACCTCACACTGCTTGAGAAACAGTTTTGCTACTACAAGACCTGCAGATATAAATTATCCATCATCCTACATATTCGTCGGACCTCGCCCCGACCCACTACCATTTTTTCCCGCAATTTGATTTTTTTTTGTATGGAAATAAAATTCCCAGGAAGCAGTACAAAAATCCCTTCACACAGCTGTGGAGTCCAGGTCTCCAGACTTCTATCGCAAAGGTTTAAATGACCTTCCGATTACATGGCAGAAATGTATAGACAACAAGGGAAAAAACTTTGATTAAACAAATATATTTAATCTTAAAAAAATTGTTTTAATTTTTCAGTGCGAAACGGCAATTTCATACTTTAACCCCTAATATTTACAATTCAGTTATATATAAATTAAATACTATCAAACTATACAAAATAACACTTTTAAATGACAACTATGATAACACAATATATTTGTTTAGTGAAAATATGATACAAAATCCTGTTTTCACACTTTACTACAGTAATTTTTACAAGTTATTATTTGTACTGCATATATTGGTACTGCATGATTGGCAACCGCGCTGTTACTCGAACAACGCTCTGTATGCGATTTTAACGCCCTACAAGTGTGGACACTTAGCGCGAACCCGACGTCCATTTATTGGTAGGTCAAACCTTTATTTTTTGGCCGTTCACATATAAATAATGATAGTTTTAATTTTAACCATTGGCCAAAATCACTTGTTGATATGTTTCGGGGCTGTCTTTATCCATAGTCAACCAGTATTTTATTTTAAAGCTACGCACCACGTGGACTAAAATCTTGGTTTGTATAAGTATCATGCGAGCGATAGAAACGTTTACGTTTGGTGCGTGCTTTTAATCAAGCGTGCTTTTATAACATATTATGTGCACTTACCATTACACTACACCAAAATTAAATCATTCAATACGAATATGTCGCCAGAAAATAAAAAAAATTGATATAGACGGGAAAATAACACTTATACTACGGTTTAAATGCACCCCTATACAAAACAGTCTACTATAAGAGTGGTTACACACG